CAGTTGTGTGCGCCAGCTGGTGCGCGCGTGTTGCTCGTGAGAGAGAAGGAGGCCCCGTGCCGCGTGCTTTATGAAAACGAACCAAAACGCCTCCAAAAATCACAGTCCCGCCGAAGATATTTTTCTCGTTCCCATAACAGCGGTACTCAAATCTTCCTGACAAATATTCGCACGCAAATGTTTGGAAACATTTGAAGATTTTTTCCAAAGATTTGGTGACCATAAACATGGGTCTTAAGACCAGTCTTTTGCGAGGGTTCCACAACATTTTTTTTTCACAGCGATGGTGGGGGCCCGGCAAATCGTAAATTTCCTACTACCGCCTAGTTTTCGCGAAGACGGTATATTCAACAGAACTTGTCACCAAGGTGTCTGCGAAAGCTAAAAGTAGACTCACTCGAAAGTCCTGATCCATAGCTTTCGAATGGTATGTATTGTATTGGGTAAATACCCAGGGCCCAGAGAGACATTAATCAAGAGGTCCTAAATCGGGTCCGGGGAATTACCACTTTCCCTGGATCAAAACGCCGCCGACCCGAAACATCCTTCCACGGGCTAATAGAAAATAAAAATCACCGAACGTTCTGTGTGCGTAATTTGCTTGTGATCGGGCAGAAGCCGTCCACGTCTGGGCTCACACACCTCTCCTTCTCTCCTCTCCTGTACTCGGCACTACATCCCTCTCGGGTCGGTACCACCATCTGGTCAACTTCTCTCTCGCTGCTACACGTCGCTCTGATCGGATTCTGGGCATAACAAGCGTTGGTGAGCGCCGGCGGTTGTTGTTCCCTCATACACCTTTGTTTCACACCGAAGCTCCGCGCTTGTTGTTGGTTGATGTCGAGATGGAGTGTCTTAGCAACGCTAATTAGTGGCCCATGGAGAGGCCGCTGGCTCAACAACTCATCACCACTTGGTGAATGCCTTGTTTATTTCAGCCCGGAGGCCATGGTCGAGTTAGTAAACCTAGAAGTACGCCCTCTCTTTGGTGAATTCGGTTGTGGCTGCTGTGTAGCATCGGCGGCAGCTGTTGTCATCCTTGTTGTTAATCCTTGTCCAGTCGGCAAGTACACCGAATCTGCTCGCCCTTCTTGAATGTGCCCATGTATGGCGTTTACTGCTGTCGCTTGGCTCCAACAGCAAGGGATAACACGAGTCCTGTTCAGCGAGCGGTATTGGTACTTGTTGTTCAAGAGACTCGACAAGCAGTTTGAAGATGACCAACACGGCTGGGAATGAAGCTGCAGGAAGGAGACTCGGCAATTACCAACTCCATCGCACGCTGGGCAAAGGAATGAGCGGAAAGTGAGTCATCGCATTGAGACACGCCAAAGTGTTTGTCTCAAGCTGTACAACACCGTTTTCGGGGGAGTTCATTCAGTGTAATTAGAGGCCATCTGACTGCTGTTTTTCCACAACACAGCGATAGCATCTGATCTGCATTCCGTACATCACCACGTTTGCGTTTCCGGGATTTTTCTTTCAAGTGGAATTTTCTTGCGTCACACTTAGGACAATTTCAAGCGCGCGCTGGTTGGTTCTTGATGCTTTTTGTGTGCTGACCGTTGCCAAAGGCTTGATCTACTGCGGGCTCTGCCGACAGACGTTACCCTCGAATGCCCCGTGCTACCGAGACGTGAATCTTGACGGTTTAAGGCGTTTGAGTCATATTTGTATCTTATCAGACATGGGAGTATTTTGTAGGACCACGGGACACGGACTTGGCTCACTACGTAGGTACTAAGCCCGAGCCCGATACCTGCTTGACACCTACGCTAGGGTAAAACTTGGAGTCGACTTGCGCACAGGAGAGACGGTGGCCGTGAAAATCATGTACAAGGACAACATGAGCGCGCGGGCGGCGCAGCAACTGCGGCGAGAAATCACATCAATGAAGGCGCTGGAACACCCGAACGTACTACGGCTCAAGGACGTCCACGAGGTTTGTCTTCTGATTAGCCTTTGGTGTCAAGTGTCAAGTGTTCACAGAAGATATACAGCCAAAAGGTATGTAAAGCCAAGAGAATTGAGTACCATTGCCGACACGAGTGCGAGAATCAATGGAGGGCGGCATATCGCATACGGTATGGATTATATCGATGTTAAGGAACGGCGATTAATGTAGTCCCGCTAGAACATCAAGCGATGCTCACCGGATGATTTGCACGTTTCTCACTTTCTCCGTTCGCTCGTGTGACGTTACACGCCCGCATTCAATAGAGTTTGACGTACGTGAAGAAAAATGGGCTGGAGAAGGAGGTGGTGATACTTGTTTTGGAACTTGCGGTAGGAGGCGAGCTGTTCGACTTCATGATGTACACAGGGGCATTTCCGGAGGTGATCGCGAGGACGTACTTTTGTCAGGTGAGATATACAGCACAAGGCCCGATAAAAGGCCGCACAACTATGGCCGCCTGCCTCCAATAAGACCGGTCCCGTAGTAGTCACGCTGGTTTTGACAACTGCCATGCTGAGGCCGCTATCTTTCTGCTGAGGGCTAAGACGATGCTCGCAGCGCATGCCGCAATGCCCACGCGACAGGCGGACTTGAGGGAGTTATTGTACATGTGATGAGCGCATGGGAGGAGTAATCGTACCGTTTGCTGTGTCGGTGGTGGTGTCGTTTTTTCCAAGAGGGTTTGTCAGGATTGGGCAGTCCGCGCTGTTACAACTACCGTTTCAGTCGTTACACAGCAGTACTCATGTTGGTTTGTCGGAATGATCATACGTTCTTACCGGTTGGATATGTACCTGAGAGACGAAAACAGGTTGGATGGGAAGCATGACCATGTATTGAGGAAATAGAAACCCTCAATAAGGCCGGGTGCACGGTATGAAAGGCCGGTCTAACCTCGTGGTACTATGCGGCCTCATATCGGGCATACTGCTGTCGTCATCCCTCGAGGGTGTTTCCATGGATTGTGCCGGAGTGATCCTGCAGCAATCTATAGGTCATTCCGGCCCGTCTTGAGCGACGCCCCTCCCCGAGTTATGCAAACGCTCAACACAGCGCAAGATCATTGTTTTCATGAGAGGATGTGACAGAGATACTCGGTCAATCACACGCATGCTTGTTTATTTTAGGCTTGAATCAATTTTTTTCTGTTTTTCCCAGATGCTGTCAGCCTTGGAGATGTGCCACAGCACCGGTATTGCACACCGCGATATCAAGCCTGAAAACATTCTGCTCGACAACAATTTTCAGCTGAAGATGGCTGACTTTGGGCTGTCGTCTATCATGGAGGTGAGGTACTTCCATGTCTGAAAAGTTCGGTACTGCCTTACCTTGTTGGTGATTTTGGAGTAAGTCATGATGTCGAGACCGATACGTTAAAACGTTGCTGTTCCGTCAATGTGTTGCGGGAAAGAAGTCGGTCCGTTTCGCGGTTTGTTGGAGATGCTGGCCCGAGAACTATTCGAGTATCCCAGGAGTAACCCGCACCAATCTGCCTTACATCACTTGGGCAGGACGAAAACGGCGTGTGCTACACTGAATGTGGCACTCGCAGCTACATGGCTCCCGAGGTGCTGGCGAAGCAGCCGTACGACGGTGCCCAGGCGGACCTTTGGTCGGCAGGCGTTGTTCTATTCATCATGCTCGCGGGTAACCCGCCCTTCCAGATGGCAGTATCGACGGACTGGTGGTTCAGGGCTGTATCAAGCGGGCGCCACGATCGCTTCTGGGCCGCCCACCTTCGAGGCTGTCCTGACTTCCCACCACTTGCGCAGGTGAGCCTATCCATCCACCTGGTACATCACGAACTGGCCCGCGTAGTTGACGCAGGGGCTTGCCGTGACGAAGGTTCTTAAAATCCTCCCGACTGCGGACGGACTTAGTATGTTCTGACGCCATTGCCCTGCTTTGTTCTTGGCAGGCGTTCTTGAACCGCATTTTCGTGGCAGACCCTCTCCAGCGTGCCACTCTCGAAGAGTTGAAGTCACACGAGTGGTTGGCAGGCGGGACCCTGCCCGCGCATACTCTCTACGACGAACTCCTCCAGCGGAAACGGTGAGCACCGTGGCAAACGAATGGGTTCAGAAGATGAATGCATGTTTTAAAGGCTCGCAGATGCATGGATTTTCTTGCGTAAAGCTACTCGCCAGCTACTTTAACATATACAAGTACCAACCAACACGTCGTTAACGTTCTCGACCAGGCGTGTAGATGACCGGAAGGCCGCGGAGCGACAAGCCCACGTACAGCGTAGGGAAGAGGAAGCAGCTCGTCAAGGACGCGGCCACGTCGACCCTTTCCCACTTAACGTTCAGCGCAGCGTTAGCAAACCAGGGGAGGTAGACCAGAGTCGCCTTCAAGCTCCAAACGTGCCCACCGACTTGCACGGGATGCATGTTTTCTACTCGGCGGCGGCGTTGGACATGTTGCTGGACAAACTCAGATCTGCGCTGGCAGGCATGGCGGGCACACCAAACGTCACGCTCAAGCCACAATCAGCCAAGGTATGGTTCGGATGTGTGTAGGTTGGTGGTCGCCGCCCCCCGATGCGTTGGTACCCGTGGCTTGTAAAAGATCAAAACGTGTGTGTAGATAGTTACGTTGAGTTTGCCAAAGCTGAAAGTTTCATTTCACAAATTTTGGTGTGCGCTACCCACTGTGCTGTGCCGCGACAAGAGCGATGTGTCTCAAATCTCATGTTCTGTCGGTAATTTTCCTCATGCAGGTCAAGGCTGTTTTCCCGGGCGACGGCTTGGAGATGGTTGCGCAAGTCTACTCGAGCCCCAATCTCGGTTGCCACGTGGTGGAGCTCACTCGGCGTGCTGGGGACGCATTTGCTTTTAACGAGATTCGCGAGACCCTCGCCAAGGCACTCGGCAGCATGATTTCAGGCGCTGCCGACGTCAAAGCCATCGCCAGCAAGTGCGTCTTTGCCAGTGTCATGTCACAGGAGGTCTTGATCGCGCCTCTTTTTGCCGAATAATTTGAATGGAGGGGGAACAGTGTTGACGGGGGACGACATTCCAGCTCGCGATGTCTCCAGGAGTTGGAGGGCTCGCGAGAGGCAAAACTAAAGGTTGCGCTTCAGCCACTCTAACGTTTTTGCACCACCTCTCTGCCCCCACCGTGCCTTTGCAGGGACGCCTTTGACGAAGACCCAGAGGTCATGTCTTTCCCAATGGCTATCCCGGGGCGGCAACCCGAGCACTGCGCATCCGCCAAAAAGAGAGCGGGGGAGGAGAAGCTCGCGGAGCGCTTGGAAGATGTCGACGTAATTTAGGCTTCCCCGTCGTTGCTTACGCAACTTGTCGTTTTGATGCTGTGAGGTGTTGTGTGTACAGGTACCCGTTTGAGAGGAAACAAGTTTGGTGAAAGCCATGTACCATATATGACACAAGATAACACACCCCCTGGACCGATTTTCAAAGCTGGATTACTCCACGACGAAGATGATGCATAAACGACACGATACATGTTCGAAAAGCTTTCGACGAGACGGTATACAACACCGCCGTTTTCGGCGCTGTGACTGTTGATGCAGTTGAGAAATCGAGCTTCGAAAATTGGTCAAGGGGGTGTTTTATCTTTTGTCATACGGTAGTACGGATGGGAAAGCAACGGAAGCAGTCGTTTTTGTGACATGGCGGAGTAGTGGAGTGTGGGAATGAGGCTGACGTGGACCGTCAACATGATATTTTCGAGGGGTGTGTCTTTGTTTTTTTGCTGTGACGTTGCAATGAGAGGGCGGGATCGTAAGAGATGATTGGAGGCACCCTCGACGGCTACAATACAGATACTGCGTGTGCGTGCGTGCGTCCCTGGGATTACTTCGATAGTTGTTTCTGCGGTGACCAAGACCAGGCGGGTAATGTGATTGTGAACGAGCGATGCGGCCTCTCGCCCGAGTTTTCGGCTAGATACGGACGGGGGTGCTGTCGTGGTGTTCAATAGTGGAATTGATGCCGACGAGACTTTGCCAAAATACGCGCCGTTGGCCTCGTTTGGAGTCGTATTAATAACGTTTGGAAGCATAAGACAAGCGACCCGAACTCCCAGCCAGATCGCCGAGACAGTAGGGAGTGACGTGCAGAGAGTACCGGTGCCTGCAGCCGGGAGGGAGAGACTTCGGATAGAGAAAATGGAAGTCGGGCACCGATATGTATACTCCATAAGATAAGGTAAATAAATTAAGGTAAATAAATTAAGGTAAAAACTACACCTGCAATACAAGTATACCGAACAGAAACCCCGACACCTTCCGGTGCGCTTTCATTGTACCGGCTGCATTGCAATGGTCAAGGCTCTACAGAGGCCGATCTGACGAGAAAACGAGGAAATCATCCTCTGTTTAGCACCAACAACAAGAGCCACGTGGTAATCCTGTATCATCCTGACCAGATTGGCGATTGGGGACTAGCCTGTTCGTTCCACCGCGCAGTAATCGTCACTAGGAAATAATTTGTTCCGTGTGGACTTTCCCGAGTTTAGTTTACCTCGGGATACGGATCTACCGCTGACAGGTGAAACTATCAACTGTCTTCAAACATCAAACTCGACAGCTCTCTCCATCATCGGGTAGTGCAACGTACAACATGCCAGGAGCGATTCTGGCAGCTCATCGGCAGCCCGACCCTCCACCGTGAAGCCTAGATGGAGAACCATGTCCTTGAACAGCCCCTGAGATTTATACGCCGCACGCAGGCAAGCGCCAAGTTCGAAACCCAATCATGATGTGGGCCAACCCTCATATTCTTCAGCTGCATGGGCACGGCGATACACTTTTCGGTGTTGTCTTGCTACACGCCACGCTGCGGTTCTACCGACGAAAGTCAGCGGTTCGTGTCAATGCGCGATGGGCTTAACGACGAAAGTCCAGAGAATCACCGGCTTGTCTCACCTTCAGAGAGTGCAAACTCTTCTTGGCGATGAAGCTGAACCGGTGGACGTTGATGGTGTTTTCAATGTAGTTTTCGGTTTTCACCCCTGCGAACGGAACGATACACCCATCAGCAACGACAACAAAAATTTAATGCCAGATCTCCTTTTGTGACGTGGGCGTCAAGCCTCCCAAGGGTGACGCAAGACAACGTGCGCATTGATTGCCCGAAGAGGGGCTGCCTCTTATTTTTCATAGGCAGTTTTATACGCTCGTATCCTGTGTAGTTATTCTACGTTGGAGCCAGCTCGAGCGGACAACAACTTGCCAGCGAAAAATCAGACTTGTTCATTCAATTATGTCTCGTGCTGATGGCAAATCTTCACTGAGAACCGAATTTGAATCCGAAACACCGCAAACAAAACATGTTCAACACTGCAGGTGCATGCGCTAAGACTTGTTTACAGCAGCAGGGTTTCACTTGGCCAGCTGCGAAGTGTACAGAGCAAACGTAGGCACTAGTGGGCATTGCGATGACACGAACAGTCACAGCGATGTGGAATCAGCGAATGAATGAATGGATATGGACATGACAGCACCGAGGAAACTATTTCAAAACTGGTTCGCCAGGCTTTGTCTGCGCGGAACGCGCCCCTGGGGAATAGAGCCAGTTTTCGCAACTTTGCCCGTCAACCACACGCGCCACGGAGGCCTACCGAGCTCCGGGCACGAGCGTTTATGTACCGACAAGCCCCTTGCGTGCCCCTGAGAAGGAATCGCGAGAAAAGACGCGCTGCTGCGAGAGAAAGAAACAACGAAGCATAAAAAGTGACCGAATCGTACATATATATATATATATATTTGTCTTCACTTCAAATCAGCGCTCACAGCGCTGGTGCCGTTTACTCCAACCCGTGGTCACACAGAAGAGCCCTCTCTACCCTCCCTTCCTGCGGTACTTTGCCTTCGATTTTTAACGCGAGAAGAGTTCAGCACTCTCTTCCCTCTGTGCACACACGAACTAGCGCTATCCACTAGGCCAGGAGCGGAAGCGAGAGAAAACTCACCTTGCAAGAAAAGCTCGCTTACGCCGGGATTCGAACCCCTAACCTGACCTCTAGAAGGTTTCGAGGACACCAACTAGACCACCGGGGCGACCGGTTCTACCGTCACTTGATTTCTTCCGTCGTACCTGTATCGATTTTGCTTTGCAAGGACGCTCCGTAGCGGGTAGTCTGATAACCTATCGAGCAACGGCAAGACCTCATTTTCCTTCACGCTTTCGCCACAGCAACCGGAGCTACATTCTTCGAATGCAAGACAAAGCAGACGTACAAAGCGCAAACCACGCTTGTACTTACAGTGTCCGCTCCTGTTGATGAGTACAGGCTTTCCGTTGTACTTGGTGATGAAACTCGGGAGACCCAGACTTTCGCTGTTCGCGATCACGGCGATGCACTGTAGCAACGAACACGGACATGAACCAGCATCGACGAAGGAACGGACAGAGGGGGTGCATAATCTAAAACAAAACCTGGCGCCAACAACTCCCCACATCCACCGAATGTCTAACGGGAATGTGCGGGTCAACCATGAAGACCATAAGAACATGAGAATCAAGTCCGCTCGGTAGGCAGTAGTAGATCGAGAACACGCGCACTCGTTCAAAACCGGGGGAGTGGTGTAACCTGTATGCCATCTAAAAGACAATAAACAGGTGTCACGTTTGGTCAGATTCTACTTCAGCACAGGGCGGGAACTTCACGGCTCTCGCACTACGAAACAGAAAGGCATCAATCATGTGCAAAGACAACCGAACACAGATTGTGCCGTTGTCAAAAAGAGAGCGCAAAACATGTGGCACAGCAAACCCTTTCACACTGAGAGCCGGAATGTCTCACCTTGAATCTACCTTGAAAGTCATCGTCAACTCCGACACGCTGACAGTACGTAACCCACAGCCGCACGCCCTCCGACGCAGTTGCCAAATTCTCCATTGCTCGAGCCGTGGATTCCTTCATTTTGAAGTACATCACACACTGTTCGGGGGGGATTGGGCATTATGTCAGGACCATCCAAAAGCAAGGTATGATACGCCTTGCGGATTTCGAGGGGACAAAAACCGAGGTTACCGCACCCGTCGTGTGAGAAACCCGCCTATGATGGCGTGTTGGAGAGGAACGCTGTGTTCTTCATTGCTTCTCTTGCTCCCTGAATTTTCATGTCATAATGGCACTGTCAAGCCAGTCGAACGGCCATGAGAGCGCTACGAGGGGGGCTTTGATCGTTGCGCATCTGCCACAAATGATATTCCGGATTGAGGGCAAGGCGCTGTGTACGCTGAAGGGTTTCAAGTTAGGAAGCGTATCTTGCACCTGGATTCCGAATTGAATGTTATTTGCTCTACCGTATCTCGGAAGTGGCATTGCGCCGTGCTACTCGTTTCGCGTGATGCGCATCTCGGGGAGGACACAAAAATACCCGTTGTTCTTCCGCAACAGCTGCTGTCAACATCCTGCCTTAGTTATCTAGCTGAATGTCGAAGACAAGCACTTGCTATGTTGGAATCGATCAACGAATGTTGCCATGCCCTTCGGTTCAGCGCCAAATACCCGACACCGTTGTAGAATCTGAACGCCGATCACAATAACTGCGCAACAAGACTAACCTGGACTCCGGGCCCATCCTCCGCGGAGGTCATGAGGGCAGGCGAGGCAGAAGGGAGCTGCACGTTGATAACTAGCAATGGAGGAACTCCCGGGACAGACACTGCGGGCAGATCTTTTGTAACGGTGTCCAGGACTACTTCCGACGCCATGTTGCCGACCCTTGCTTCAGTAGAAAATATGTCCAGCCCCACCATGTCGTACAGCGACTCGGCTGTGTGAAAAAAGGGAGGAAAACGTACGAGCGAAGTGTGATGAGACAGAGCACTGGCTGGCTTCCTACTGACGTGAACGGCAGCAAAAGACGCAACACGTCTGTCCACGTCGATGCCGCACCAATAGCCCGTAACATCTGGAACGGTTGAAGTGCGCACTGCTGTGTGTGCTGCAACTACCGCTAGCGATACCGGTGTTGCGTACGTTGTGGTTTCACGCGAGTTCAAACAAAGGCTTACCTGGTGACACCTTCACCTTGTCCTGCATGTACCCTTTTCCCCGGACATGGAAGACGGATTCGATCCCATTGCTCCATGAGTGGTGCGGCGCTGTCAAAGTCCCCGCTGGGTCATCATATTGCTGTGTAGTGGAGCTGCCATACAAACAAGCCGCCGACACACACAAGCCAACACGCTCATGAATGCTGTACATCCATCGCGCGCTCGATGCTGTTCATCATAGACCGGAAGATTTAAGAGGATATGCTGGCACCCTGCCGTACACGACCAAAGACACAAGGTAAAACACAATCCATACGGTTGGCGACCACACGTGACCACATCTGTCAGCTGATGGGCAGCAAAATTCGGCACCAGCCGGGGTTTGGGAACCATTACGCATGCCCACACTAAATTGGGGTGTTGGTTCGCCCAGCCAAAAAACCTCGAGCATTCGAGTATGGGTTGTTCACCGGTGTATCGTCTCGACCACTGGCGACTCGGTTCGCCGCAAGTACAGTTGACAGCAAGATGCCATGCAGCGACCAAGCAAGAATCAGTCTCCCTCAGATGTCATGGAATCAGCCTAATAGTTGCGTTCTGCTCACCCTGCCACCGGTACCCCGCACGGAATCTCCCTCCCGTCTCCTAACGGGAGAAGAGGTTGCGTGTCCTTCTTGGGCGGGAAGCGCCTTTTAAGAGCAACTCTGAGAGCCCCGACGTCATCGCCGTGAATCACAGGAACCCCAGTGCCGCTGCGTTCTCCAGAAGCTGGCCTGTCGGCGGATCTCCGCATGCCCCAACCAATGACCAGGTTCAGCGTAAACACCGCCGCATAGAACACCTTCAAGCTGAACTGCAATATCTCGATAGACGCCGTGGGGTGTGGGGAAGTTACGTGTCGACACTTTTTGCGCAAAACGGTACTTCTTATACAGTGGTGCAACCGAAGGTTCATGGCGGCAAGTGATCACACTTGCGTTACTCGAGCACGTCGGGTGAGTGGAACAACATGCGACGACAATACACAACATGTTATGAAACCGGAACTCGTTGTACACAGGATATCTATCCCCACGATAGGGGCGAACACAAGACAATTGTGCTTGGGACGGACTAGGCAAGAGCAAACGAAATAGTCACCGTTCCAGTCTGTTCATCTCATAGCCCGCAAGCCATGATCTGTGGTCCTTGCGGTGTAGAAAAGTGCCCCCATACCTCGTGCTGATGAAGGAAGTAGCACACCACGTCCACGGCCGTTAACACACAAGCGAGCATCCAAGCGCCTCGGGTTTCAGTCCCCCCTTGTGCGCTCTCTTCCATCACTACTGCTGTGGCTCTTGCCGACGGTGATCGTGTACCTGCATGTCAGCAACGCCACTGCTCAGCCGATGAAATTCTTGGCGAAAAATACCTGCATGTCCGAAACCAACAAGCTACCTCTATCGTACCCTGGAATATCAATCTCAGCAATATATGCAGTGTGACACGTCGCGTAGCATGCTGCTGCGGCCGCAGTCGTAAGCTCACGCGTCCGAGGGCCATGACCGATAATGAACCATCTCAGAAGGATATCGTCGCTGATTTGTGCAGATAGACAAAAGTGTGATTGGACAATGCTGTGACTTGGGACATGGATTACAGTAGCAGCTAGAGAAATATCTGAATATGGCCACGTGTACGCTGTTCGTTAGCTACGCGCCCACCGTTCTGGGATGGTGGAGACGGTGTGCGTGTTTTGTGCTTCACGCCGTTTGGCGGGGACGACAACCTCTTGCTGGTGCCACGCCGGAATGTCGGAGACCGCATGGAGGTGTCTGAAATTCTGGCAGGTTCATCTGACGATGGCGGCCCTTCAACAAAAGATCGCAAAGCCTGCATTTGCGCAGTATGAGTGTACCAACAGCGGGGTGAGTATTTAGTCAACCCGCCTTCCAAAGCGACTGTAACGGCAAAAGGTGCAATCATGGGTTGAGAGTTGAGACAGCATGTATGCTACATTGAATCACGAAACACTCGCAAATAGGGCTTTCCAAGTATAGATTAGATCCATACGTGGGTGTAGCATTGCTTTAGACGATGGTATGCAATATTAGGATTACAACAAGACATTGTACGGCAAAGATGATGCACACTTGCTGGTTTTTCTGGATTTGCTATATTGATTCGTACACATGCGTATGGTATGCAATATTAGGATTACAATCAGACAATCGTACGGCAAAGATGTACACTTGCTGGTCTTTCTGGATTTGCTTTTTTGAAATTCACAGCTTGCGTAGTTGTATCTTCGTTCATCTTTTCATCTTTTTCGTTGAATTGGCCCGCAATTGGGTTGGGTTGACGTGTGAAAATGCAATGCGCTTCTTTACCTTGGATAGGAGGAAAACGACTCCATAACACAGCGTGAGTGTGTGAAAGCAGGTTATACCGTGTTCAATGCCGACAATGGTTCCAACACGCGCACAGCCATGGTTGACCCAATAAAGTCGCTCAGTGTGTATCGTTGTGAGTCCCTCCGAAACGAGATACTGAAGTATTACCTGTTTCACGCAAGCGATTGACTAGGGATGGAGGTGCATCACTACGCCGACTGCGTCAGGAGAAAACGACAGAATTTTAAATCTACGCATCGATCTATCTACCTTGTACGTACATGGTATGTGCCCACCCACCTCTTCCCAGCGGTTGATCTCGCCCGGTGCTTCCGAGCTAAGCTTCCATCTCTGCCCTCCTCCTTGGATGACAAGCGATGAGGTTCCCGTGACATCTCCGTCAGGTGGCGTGTTCTTCGATATTACCACATCCTCGTCGAGCGTGAGAATGCCGCGTGGAGGTTCGCAGAAATTGACACTGTCGAACGAACCCGCCTGTGTGTCCCAGGCCCCCAGATGGTACATTTGTATATCACATGCATGCCACCAAAGAACATGTGGGCGAAGATGATAAAGCTGGTGTACAGCAAGTACTACTTTTGCTGTAGTAGCAGACCAAAGTAGACTGTAAATTATATCGGAAGATGTACGACGCATTGACTACATACATAGCCCAGCTACAGTAGAATCTGCAGTCAAGATATCCAAGTATAAACTGGCATGTCTAGTTCTCCTAAACTACCTCTGAATGGGCATTACGTACAGCACCCGCGCCAATCTACCGCCATGATGCTCTTCACCTGAAAGTAACACAAATTGCCCGTTTTCAAGAGGACGAAGCACCGATTCTTCCACTTCTGCTGGGACATCTTTCCGAACCCTCCTCGTCGTTTTAGCAGATTTCCCGCCAGTATGAAGTCTTGCTTGGTAGGAGGCACGGGAATCGCCGCATGGTCCTACACGGTGGATGGGGTAGGACATGAGCACAGCTTGGTTGGTTGTGCGGTCGTTGTTGAACGTATGCAAAAGTTGCGAAAACACCGAATGAATAAACGTTCCGTTCAAGAATCCACCCCTCGGTAACTCCGGATCCTCCTGTTTCAGTTCCACTCACAGTCAGCCAGCATCCCTTCTTCCTTCGTTCTGAATCGGACATGCCAGAAACAATCTCTCACGCTCTGTCGTGCTTGCCGGCAGGCTGGTGTGAACGGGCAGCCAAGCAGCCAGCCGAGGTTGTGCAATTGGGCCGTGCGCAGCGAAAAGGAGAAGGAGGGCGGAGGGGGAGGAGAGAGAGGCAGCGAGGGGGGTCTACGACGGAAAGCTGAGGTAGGGTACGCGCCTGAGGGCCAAAAAACTCAACGTGCAGCGTGCAGCCTGTGGAATGTTTTAAATTTTAAACTTGTGCACATCGTTCAGTGGGTACGAGGGGCTGTATGGTCTACTTATAGCCCAAAGGTGATCCCTGCTGATTCACGTTGTTTCTGTTTTGTCGTGTCGATTTTCTTTGGTCAGATATCTCCCGCTTTGCTGTTCAAGCTCTTGGCACACCACTCGATGTTCCGATGTGCGGTGATCATGTTCCAAGAGAGGTTCGCCGCTCCATTCCCAAAAACCAAAAACAGGCCCATCTGGGGGCCACCACGGATCTCTTCTTATGGTTACAGGAGAAGACGACAAATTGCTCCAACACACAGCCGGTGGGCCCTACTACTGCTGTACTCGCCTGCTGAAGATAATGCGCAGTTATATGTGACAGTCCAGGAATGGCGACCCAAAAAGAGTTTGCGATCTTGCTGGAATCTTCCGTTTACCAATTCGCAGCGGCCCTCGAGAGCACGACGCACTCTGTGATCCTACATTCTGTGTAGGAAGTCCCGACGAAGGCGTGCGATATGTCGCCAACAGCTCTGGGGCCGTGCTGGAGCTGCAGAATGCCAAAGAACGCATCCTTATCATTGTTTCTCCATGTGTGGAAATAATTGTTGCCCTGTAGGCCCCGACCAGCGTGGCGGTAAAAGGTACAGAGAGGTGCAGGCACCACATATGAGACGAGACGCAGCAGCGTACCGACACAACAATTTTCAACTGGTCATTTCATCTCGGATGTGTTTGGTTGGTGGTGCTCTGTCGGTCTATTTATATATTTGCTGGTTTTATTTATTTCCTGATTTTGGCAGGGCATATGTACGCTGAGTGGGGTCAAAGGTGTGCTGTGCAGCATCACAAGTATATGATATCTAGACTAGACTATATTATATATTATATATATATTCCCACAAAATCTTTGCCAGACACAGCGGCAGCAGGGGCCGGCCATTTACATGTCCTGCCTCAGCCCATGGCTCAGGATTACGCTGCTATCAGTACTGATGGGTATGTTCACCGGCCGCGAAATTTTTGCGGCATGTATCACGTGAGGTTTGCATAGAGGAGCTTGCGTACGCCGCGTCTCGCGCGTTCACCTTACTTGTCCAGATTATTAGAGGATACCGATGCAGGGTGCGAAGCGGTTGACATCCAACGATGTTTTCAGAGCGGTTGTCCAAAATAGAACCTTCCCCTCCTTGGCTAGAGAACAACAGTTGTGTCGAGAGTACGCTTGGCTGGCTGGCAGGCTGGCACCATAAACGCCTTCCTCAAATCAATGGCGCCCGAAGAGCGCACCCGCACGAGGCGCCAAACGGCCGCACAGCAGCGAGTTGAGGGTGGTGGTTTTTTCTTCAAGAGCGGCTACGTCGCTGTTACCAAACCAGGGTCACTGCAGCCCCTCTTGGGGGGGGCGAGGTACATCGACGTGTAGGGATGCCGAGGACGCGTACACTTCAGGCGAGGGCCCTCAGCGTTCCGCGGCCTATGGGCAACGTCGTGGAGGAACCCGAAGTGCGCTATCAGGGTCCCCCGTGTGCGAGAGAGGATAACTTGACCTCCATTCACACGTGTGCAGACCGGTTGGTTGGTAATCGAAGAGGACGCCGAGGACGCGCTGGAGGATGAAGCCGCAGACAGATGTGTCATATCCTGCCACGGTTCCGAGATGCTGGACGAAGCAGGTGCTCGTGAAGTCGAAGGGGGTATCCAGACGCCCCCAAAGAGCGCGCAGCTGCAGATGCGGGCGAATGGAGGTAGGTGTGTGACAGAAGGTGGTCGACGTTGTGATAAACGCGAAACTTTCGGGTTTCCATCGGAAAACGCCTTGTCCTAGTTTTCCACCGCACGCGTGTTGCTGTCGCACACGAACGAGAAAGTAGCACCATGGCTACCTTGCTAACCCCTGTCATACACGCACCGAATCGCACGTTCCCCCCAGCCCTTTCACCGTCGCAGTATTCGGTAATGAGGAGCTCGCGGTTCATCCTGGTCGTCGAAGGTCTTGCGGACGCAATTGATACCCGGAGGAAATCAGGCGAGTCTTGAAGCATGGACACAGGCAGCGGCGAAGCGACTCCTACACAATGATCCTGCGGGCAAACGGTATTATATTACCCCGAGGACGTATGGCAAGAGCATGTCCTGGTGTTGGCTGAGAATCGATGCCATCCAGAAGTCTTTCATGGGGCGAAGCCATCTCGAACACATCAGGAGTCAAGAGCCCAAAGGATCGTTGTAGTGTCCCCCGTATGTGGTTGGAGTGACTGCATTATGTAAGTCGTACCTGGTTATAATATTTCGTGCTTCGGCGTATCTTTCTCTGGTGACAGTGAATCTTCATGACGCTCCCTTCCGAGGGGCGCGCAAGAGGTCCGCACGTCCGGAGCTCACTATTTAGGCACTCGTGACACGTTTGCTCGACGCCTACAGTCGCGGCGACTGACTGTATTTTCCGGCGAACGTGTAGCGCGAACCACTGTTAAAACCCATGAAAGTTGTCTCGAACGGTCGTCTCGCACTGCCAACTCCAAGTGCTGATGAAGCTGATCACGTGCCCGCACAAGCCTCGTGTTGCTTCTTCGGATTGCGTCCTTGCTTATGCTTGTTGTGTCGGGTTAAAAATAGGTCAAGTCCCAAGTTTTGCAACTTACCCAGAAAATGGCCAATTCTTGCACGTTCACTCGCAACACAGCAGAGCACAGCAGACAAGGCTTCGGGGCCGACGAGGGTAGGCACGGTCAGCGTGCAACGGTATTGTTCGCGCGCGGGTCGTGCGGGGAAAGGAAGAGTGAACGAAATTCAAGAGGCATGCAGCAGTTGCCACCTCGCTATTGATAAGAGTTTAACATGGCAGAGGACAGGAGGACGGGCGGGATGGAACCAGTTGTTGGGGCGACAAGAAGAATTTTTCAATTGGTGCACCCAGGCTGAGTTTTGTGTTGACACCAACAAGGATACGACTGAGAAATAGCGAACGCGCTCACATACGCACCCCCACGCGGACAGAAACACGTGATGGAAAATCCTTGTCGCTATTCATTTTTGCATGCCTTGGATGTGGGTTACAGTACTGGAGCAGCTGCAACCACTCTGCAGGGAGTTGTCATCTGGATTTGAGGCTAGCTACGGACGAGGCGATCTAAAAAGTGAAGGCGATCTGAAAAATGTGTGCGTGTACGTGAGCTCAAGACAGCGACCGAAGTAGAGGGCAGACAAGTAGTAGAACTCGGCGTCTGCACCATTTGGAAACACAGGTTCTTGTAGGAACTCTTGAACACGCGAGAAAGTGGCTTCAGGATGAAGTATCAGAACCCTCATGATACTCAAGAACAAAGGTAAGGCCTTGAGGTAGCAAAAACTGCGCGCGATGATGAACAACTGGGATGAAATAGCAAATCTCTACCAGTTCGTTAGCAGAAAGACACAAGACAAGGGGGAACTCAACTTTCAATCTAGCACGAGATGTTCGATGACAATATCACACGTGCCACAAGGGTACGTGCGTTCGAACCAAATAATCTCCTCTTGCTCTTCTCATGACAAGGATCCTCAAACCCCATCTGGCCTGTTGATACCACATGACAGCGGCTGACGTAAAAAAAGATACGTCACGGGGAAGAGTATAGTGATTGTGCAGGCGTCTCGTCAAACGAACAGATGGTACGATACGCCACCTGCGCAACGAGCCTCTTCACGACCCGAATGTTGACTGATGAAAACCCAACTTACAACGGTCATTTGCGAGTGAAAGCTTTGACGTGACCGACCAACGCTCACCAAACAGAGAATCACGCACGGAACAGGTAAGTAAATTCATTGTTGTTGTTCGTACTACTGCTGTCCCACGTTGGCGCCAAAGCAATCACAGAACCAGGCCTACATGGACACCCGATCTAAAAGCCTGACACGAACTATTTGCGGTTATCACACACCTGTGATCCTACTACGCAAAATCGGTAGCAAATTGCCATTCCGCATTCCAGTAACAAAAAAAAATCGTATCTGAGGTCGCTAGGCCCCCTCACACGTGGCAGTGTTACGATGCGTGTTTGGCCATCGACACTTAAAAAGTCAAGCTCTGGCGGCCATCGTCCTACGCCTCGACCGCACCAGCGGATGCCGATCTGAAAGAAGGCTGCATCGGTGACAGCGGCAGGGACGACCCCTTCTCTACAGCCTTCTCCACCTGAGGATGCAGAAGTGGGGCGAGCCGCGGCAAGAAGGGCAGCGACAGCAAATGTTGTTCGCTTCCTGTTGAAGCATAAACTAGGGGGGATTAAGTTGGCTGCCGAGAGGATGAAAAAACAGCTTTGTACGATGAAGCAAATCATCCACCTGCATTGTTTGCGTCCCCGGTAGGCTGGCATATTTGGCAAAACACGTGAGTTTTGTATGTCAAAATGTACGGGATTGAATTTTTTTCTTTAAGCTCGCCACGGCTTGACGTATTTCTTCACAATACATTAAATAAACACCGTGGCGGGACTACATCCCCTAATTTCCTCCGCTGTCCACTTGGTGGGGAACCCCACGGACTAAAAACCGTGCTGACCTAAGTTAAGCTAGCCACGCTTTTCCGGGATGCCGGGGAATGTTGATTCACACTGCACCTTTGACGGTCGTTCGGAAGACTATTAGGGAGGAACCGCACACCCCTTTGGCGCTGGCATACTTGAAACGAAACAACCTTCGCGCCGTGTCTAACTGCACCTGAGTACTGTTATCAGTGGAGGACACCATGAATAGACGTCGTGTGTGCTGGCACGTTGGTTTGCTTGGGTGGTGGTATCGAGGATTGTAGAGACGGTCTACAATCTCAGCAATCTGCGCCGGAACCAAACGGCATCCAACATTGTCACAGTCGTACTTACTGCCACGAACCGTGATCCCCTGAACAACGGGTCATCAGCAGTAGCTAGTGGCATCAGCTACTGCTATCAACCCGCATTTCAGTAGATTGGGGGCAGTGGCGGCGAGCACGGCTGTGACAAATGTTGGGTGCCGCTCGGTTCCGGCGAAGATTTGTGCACAGGTTGTACGCCATTTCTACGATCCTCGATATCACCACAGAAGCAGTTTTTAGCTCGCCAATACATCCTCCCCGCTGCTATGTACGTTCTCTAGTTATCTCAGTACTCAGGTGCGTTAGAATATCAGAGCCTGCCGTTTCGGCTCTATTGACTTGACAGAGACTGGTGTGAATTTTTTTAGACTGGCGAAAACTTTTAGCTTGATTTCAAAGGGGACGTACGGAGGTAGACTCATGATATGTATGTTTTGAGCGGCCTCTACTGCCGCCCAGTGCAGGAATCAACGATTTCTGTTTGTCCCGATGCCCTCCGACTAGCCTGGTGTGTCTTGTGTGCATTTTCTGGTGCTGTTGCTATTTCTACCAAGATCAGTCGGTTCCCACGATCTTGGACTTTAACAATCGTGACGAACATTTACAACCGCAACACTGGCGCACTTGCGTCTCACTTGCGTCTTGAACAAGATCAGCAAATCCACGTACCTCCTTGGCGATATTCTCTTGTGAAAGCCCGCTCAATGAAAGACGGTGCTCCACTCCGTAGTCTGACGGGAGCGAAGAGGCATAGAGGCGGAAACGGAGAGTGTGAAGCAAGAGGGAATGCATGGTATGTATGTACATGCAAGAACAGGAAGACTTTGTAGGAATGACTCGAGATATCAATTACTTCCATAGGCAACGCCTTAGCGCGCTTTATCTTTACGCTCAATGCGCATCGTAATGATAAAGGGCTGGCTGCCTTGCGACGCACCATAGGTAGCCAGGAGATAAGGATCAGCACCCGTGCCTTCCCGAAGCAATATAGGGAAACCCGGGTTCAACGTCTTGAGCTCAGCGTAGTTGGTTCGGAAGAATTCTCTGCCAAGAAATGACGAAGCGTGTTGGTAGAACGATGTCAGCAGTGGCGATGAACGCGGTAAGAGGAATCGCCTGACATATAAAGGAAGGGAAGAGGTTGATCGTGCGCGTGCTCTATGTAGCCGAAACAGTTGGAATTACTTCTCTGATACGACCCACATGAGTTTCACACGCACCGGACCGGAGCACCACTCTGGCTGATATTGCAACAGCAAAACCTTAGCTCTCGAACATTGCGAGAGAGGCTGGCCCGCCACGCCATAAGCACTGTTGTGTGGTGGATGCTGATTGGGTAGAAGGCAACGATGAGAGCGTCTGCTACGGTTGGTTATCTAGTGCGCCCAGCAGCTCGACTGCGGCGGCTGGCGGCGGCGGCGTATTTTGGTGTTCCACAAAAGAGGCTTCGGCTGGGCGGGGCCGGCATTACTGCAGACACACATACTAGAAGTCTTTTCTTCCCATTCGCAGTTCACACAACGACTCGGTGAGGCCGACCGCGCATGCCCTTCACCATGAAGCTGGAAGCACTCATCTTCTCTCTTGCGTCCGTAGCACCTGTGGGTGGTTTTCTGGTTGCTGTGGGATTTCCTCAACAAGTCGCGAATGGCGTGGTAACTTCCCAGCGGCGTGCTCTGGACGTTGGTGATTCTCACAAGGCGAGTTCGTTGAATCCTACATGTTGTTGGGCGAATACGAGACACCGAGGCTTGTGCGCTGTGTCATCTCCGGACAGCATTACACCAGTGGGTGAATGGGACGCCACCTTTTTTTCCCCGGCCAAGATCAATCTATTTCTTCGCATCCTTGGCAAGCGTCCCGATGGCTTCCACGACCTGGCTTCGCTCTTTCAGGTACGAAGATAACTAGATCTAACCGCGGGGGTCTTGTGTAGACTATCCCAGAGGTAGCAGCAGAAGGTTGCAAGATACGGGATTCCTACTTATTTTTAAGACACTACGCAGCCTACTGAGAGATACCGCTTTGGTCTTGGATGACAAGGCATGCATCACGTGCACATGACTCGTCTGATAGCACTATATTATATGCAAGCCAAAAAGAAGAGCGAAATGGGTAACTTGTTTTACGAACGGGCGAGCGTTCCCCGATTTGACCGGGATGTCGAAAGAGATATGCATACATGGGTATGCGGTACGGACACTTCGCTTGGGGGCCACGACTCTAACGGACATTGGCACGTTGAACAAGGGCCTGGGCAGACCCCAAATAATCTTTCGGCTGCATCACTGCAAGTTTGTTGGCCATCTCTGTCACCGCCTGCCCAACGCGGCCTTTTGTGGAATGTGCCGATCCGAAAGCGAGGATCAGCAACCGCCTCACGACAGGGTACAGAGATTCGTGTTGAGACCTCCATGGCGTTTTCTGCTGCAAGCGGTTCGACGGCCATGCTCACGACAGGGTACAGAGATTCGTGTTGAGACCTCCATGGCGTTTTCTGCTGCAAGCGGTTCGACGGCCATGCTCACGACAGGGTACAGAGATTCGTGTTGAGACCTCCATGGCGTTTTCTGCTGCAAGCGGTTCGACGGCCATGCTCACGACAGGGTACAGAGATTCGTGTTGAGACCTCCATGGCGTTTTCTGCTGCAAGCGGTTCGACGGCCATGCTCACGACAGGGTACAGAGATTCGTGTTGAGACCTCCATGGCGTTTTCTGCTGCAAGCGCTTCGACGGCCATGTTATTTTCTATCGGCGCATATCATTGAAACTCAGGGGACCAGCACTGCTATTGATATAGAAAGCTACACAGCTGTTGCTGTTGTCCGCCGGGTGTTGCCGCGGTACCCGAAGTTTGATGTGTGAATGCTTGGGAATACAATTTTTTTTTTTCTCTCGTCATTGGACTCTGTCGTCTGCCCCTCTGGCCCCTGTCCTCCACTTCTACCAGCTAGACGACCCAACCGGGGTCACATAGGAGGGGGGTTGGACCCCCTCCTGCGGTTCCTGCCTGAGATACTTTTGTCGCGAGGAGGGTACAGCAATCCCTTCCCTCGCGACTTGCGAAGTCGATTATGGTTTGCTGCTCCCGAGAATCTGATGCTCTTTCGGTGTGTGCAACAGTCATTTTTCACTCATGAACAGGCCGCAGCCTGCTTGATGTATTGAGTATTTTGTGAACGGGTGTCACGAGCCCTAAGGCTACGTAAGAGAAGGAGAAGGATATATCCCACGTACGTGGTCGTTGGCAAATCAAGGCTTCGCGCGACGTACTTACGATGCCATCATTCCTCGTTTCCCCTGCCGACTGCCGATTGCTCTTGATAGTAGCACCTACCTCGGTTATGGTAAGACATGAGTTGAGTTGTCCGTTCACGGGCTACAACACCGAAACAGCTACCCTTATTGCTGTAGATGGACGGTCGCACTCAATTTTTTCGAGACAAACTTTGTTGACCGCATATTTGAGGACGAGACGACTTTCGCTTGCAAATTATTGTTGGAATGCATCAAACCACGAGGCTCGTCTTTTAGTTATGTACGCGTAATGCTCTGCCCCATCCGTTGCTCGCGTTCCAGACAGTTGGATTCGGCGACAAACTTTTCTTCCGAAAACTGCCAGAGAGCGCGATGGCAGATACCTTCAATTGCAACATGGAAGGGGTGCCAACTGATGGGTCGAATCTCGTGCTCCGGGCGTTGGATCTGTTTCGGAAGCGCACCTCCAGCCAGCATTTTTACGAGGTACGAGCTGCGGTTGCTTGAAACACAGGTCATATCACTTCACTCTGTGGCAGTCGCTGTGAAAGCATGTTGTTGTGCTGGAGACGTCGCAATATCTCGCGCAAATGGATCCCCTGAGTACGAGAGAGGCCCGCAAATCGTGCTGTGCGAGATATTACACGTCATGCGGTTCAGCGAAGGCCGCGCTGTTTACAGTGGGCGTGTGGCGGCCGCGATAAATCAATTCGGGTGCTTCGGGTACTTTATGTGCATTCAACCTACTAACTGAATAACTGTTTGGTACTGGCAACACCTTGGGCATCAACGCTCTTGTCTCAAGGAAACCCATGTGCTCGATCTCTTCAAGCTCCTACTTGATTCTCAACTCAAGGGGTGGGGACAGTGCCGGCATTAAGTGTCATCGGTTCAAAAGAGTCGCACTGGCAATACCGTCTTAAAGTGTCAAGCGTGTAGGGCGGAGGCAGGCGGAGAACGAGCTACCCTACCAATCCGTTGCCTCAACGTAACGCACCACGATGGGAACCGTTTCCGACTAAAAGTGGATCACATTGTAACCCCTTCAGGGCTAGATCAGTTTTTGGGGATAGATTTTGTCCCCATCCTCTTCACCTGCTAAACCTCGCGATGAGGGGCATGGTTTTCTCCTCCTTTGAACTAGTCGACAATGGGGGTACTGGGGTTCACAGGAAAATACTAGTCTAGTGGGATGCGTTGTAAGGTGGAGGAAACATGAGGGTATAGGCAGGTCGAATCGCGGGACGATTACAATATGCCGCGGGTTCGACGGCGAAGGTGCGCCGCGTCTGTCTACCCTTGGGTGGAAAGCGCTACTAGGAGCAAGCCCGGAAGAAGCACCTAGCCCCCCGACGAAATACGGCACCGGGCAAGCTACAGTAGGGCATGGGTCACAAGGTCTCGCCCTCCCTCTTTAGGAATATCTTGAAAACCTCCTTCTCGTGCCCCGTTAGCCACGCTCCCGCCAGTTGTTGTCTATCGAGGGGACCTTTCATAGGTCATTTAGACAAGAGACGGCTCAGGTGGGAAGGCAGCTTTGCACTTGTACCCAGGCTTGGAACTAACTGTCTGCATAATCCAATCAGCAGGCGTCGTTTTGTATTTGTCGTACATGTCAGAAATTTCGCAACAACACCGAATTAGCTGTGCGTGTGGTAAGCGGGTTAAGGGTTCTGAATTCGTGCCAATTAGTTGATTTTGTTTTTTTCGCTAGTCCATAGTTCAACGGAGCATTTTCTATGGTTAACTACCAGGCACTTCGTGTGTACGTGCAGCAGTAGCAGGGTGGTCGCATATGTGTGAAAAGTGAATGATAAACTGTGCTAACCTTCGAGTGCTAATTGACTGACAGCAATACACGAGACACGCTGAAGCCTAATAGTGTAAAACACCCCGAGGTGACAGCCATGATTAGGGTAAGTGGGAAAAGGGTCCACGTTCTGCCGTGGTCCGAAATACTCCTTGACTTCAAGTATTTTGCCTTCTTCGCGGAACACGCCGTTGAAACACGGTGCTCGCAGTTGGCCTGGTGTCGCTTCCTGTACTATTTTACCTTCCAGGGACACAAAACACCTTTTAAGCGTGCACCCGGCACACGCGTTATCTTCCATGTTGGTTCTCCGTAGCCTTTGTTTGTTTGGTCTTGGATGTCGATGCTGACCATCCTTTCGACAGGTCATGACAGATTCCTTGTGTGTGACAGGTCGATCGCGGCATGCACATCATTTCGATCGTAGCTCGCCACCAGGGCATTTTTTGTGCGGGAACCAGCCACCACGGTATTTTTTGTACGGGAAAAGCCACCACGGTAATGCGCAGTGTTCCGCGGTAACTAAATGCCTTTCACCTGTGGCAAGGGAGCTAGCCACAAGGATAACGGCATACGTTATTGGTTGGTGTTTTTTTTTACACAAGATTACCCTTGACCGGAAGAAGAAATCCCTGGGCATCCCTGGGGGGCCGAAGGCACGTCAATCCCTGATTTTCATGTGGGTTTCTACATCGTCACATACTTAGAACCCAACTTAGCTGCAACTCCGATGATCCCCAAAACCCCACAAACGACGCTCTTCTGTCTCTATCCCTCCCTGCCTGTGTCGCCCCTACACGGACTGTTTTATCTTTGTGCACATCAGTTGGGTTCCACCAACGCTCCACCGAACGTGTTGCTGTGTCCTACAAGGAACATTTCTAATATTTGTATAGAGGCGCTCGCATTCCAAGCGTACGGAGCAAATATCGTTTCGGCACAAAACACAGGGGCGATTTTATGCGCGATGAGAAGAGCACGGACAAGTTCATTTAGCTGCTTAAGTTGAAGCGGTTCGAATTCTTGCTCCGCTGCTTGGACTTTTCATTGTACCCTTTTTGAAAAGGTTTACGTAAATTGTGTCCTTCAGGCAGCTCTTCCGACGAGCCATCCCTGTTCATCCTCGGGGGTCTTTGCTTGGTTTTGGACTTGACGATACCCAAGACCGCAATCCCTCAATTTTTCACACATTAAACCCAATGTGCTGTACACTCAGCACCAACTGCTCCGAAAACGCTCTGAGTTGGCCATGGCGTTTATGTAGCCCGTGCTACATTCGTAGCTGCTTGCAGTCCTCTGCGAAGCGGGTGTCCGCAGTTATCTAATTAGCTGTGAAGCTCGG